AGATACAACTTTTTGAAAATCTGGAATCTGAGGGTGCTAAAAAATCTAAATATTGAGAAAATCGTGTTTAAATGTGTTCTTAGCAATGCATATTACTAATCAAAAATTAAGTTTTGATATATTTACGGTAGGAAATTTACAAAATATCTTCATGGAACATGATCTTTACTTAATATCCTAATGATTTTTGGCATAAAAGAAAAATTTATAATTTTGACCCATACAATGTATTTTGGGCTATTGCTACAAATATACTTGTGCTAATGACTGGTTTTGTGCTCCAGGGTCACACATATGTTTATTATGATAAAGATAATTTGTTGACAAGAAAATGTCTCAAAGCAAAAAGTGTTAAGAGGCTTAATTTTCCATAGGCTAAATATGTATATTTAATTGTAACATACATAATTGTCTATATTATATATTGTGTTTTTGCTATTTTGTACATTGTCTATTTTGTATATTTGTATATTATTCTTTTTATTATCTATGTCCTGTCTTGTCACTGTCATTCTGTTGCACTGTGGAGCTTCTGTCACTAAAACAAATTTCTCGTATGTGTAAACATACCTGGCAATAAAGCTCATTCTGATTCTGATTCTGATTTTTCTAGACGGGTTTAGAGAGATTCATCCTAGTAGTTCCTATTCATTAACATGACTGTGTTTTTTTCTCACCCTCTGATCTGCGAACTCCCTTCAGGGAGTTTGTGGGTGTTGGCACCACTGGGACCTTGAGTTTGGGGTTTCCTCTGAGAGCACTTCCCATCTTAGCAGCAGATGCAGGGATGCTGGATGTAGAGGTGGTCTTTTCAACTGTATTTTGTGCTGGGGTCTGAAGCTGTGGAGGCGGTAATGGATCTGTTTTCTTAAGGGGTGTAGCTTTAACAGGTCTGGGATGGAGTTCAGATGCCCTCCTCCCCTGTGTAGAGATGGAGGTCCGTCTGCTGACAGGGGGCTCTGGGTTTCTGGTGACGACAGAGGATTTGCGACTAGAACTTGGCAACCTGCTCACACTGCTGTGTGAACGAGCGCCGATGCTGTTAGTGCTGGAGTTCAGGGAGGAATTCAGTTTAGCTGGTGAGAGGAAGAAGATGAGATATGTTAACATAACCAGCAGATGGCAGTAGATACCCAAAAAGTTTTCAGGTATATCACTTGCATTTTAGTCATTTACTTTCTTAATATGTATATGGTCTTGTAAACAATTAATTCATAATAAAAATGTAAATCTAAAAGAAAAAAAATAATACATAAATACTTTTAAATGTGGATTTAGGCATCACAACATCATAAGGTACAGTATGAAAAATGGGTATTCCTTTTGAAATTTTTTCAAGGCTATTAAATTACTATTTTTTATTGAATATTAACTATAAGCATTATATGATAAAAGTATAAAAAGGTCACCTTTACTTCCTGGAGAGACAGTTAGACTAGAGTTGATGCTGGACACAGATGAGGAAGAGGATGAAGTGTTTCTCCTCCTGTCTACAACTCTTGAGTTCTGAAGTGAAGGAGCTTTAAGAGCAGATGGAGCTCGCAATTCTGTCTAAATGATATAGAAAAAAGTTTAAATATATAATTTTTGAAAATCTGTAATAACCAATTACCAATGGTGTACATCCTCTTATTTTGGTAATAAATTACACTAAATGACAAAACATGCCTATTCTACAACCTACACTACAGTTCAAAAGTTTAGGGTCAGTAATTTTTTTTTTAAAGAAATTTATTTTATTCAGCAAGAATGTATTAAACTGATCTAAACTGACAGAAATTTTTTTTTTAATAATGTTACAAAAAAGTTCTGTTGTTTTTCAAATAAATTCTATTCTAATATAAATCTATTAATCAAAGTATATCACAGTTTCCACAATTTTAATTAGCACAACATTTTTTTCAACATTAATAATAATAAATGTTTCTAGAGCAGCAAATCAGCATGTAAGAATGATTTCCAAAGGATCACGTGACTGCTGAAAATATATTAGAAAACTTTTTTGTTCTAATAATATTTCACAATATTACTGTTTTTACTGCATTTTTGATATTATCAACAGTTACATAACCGTATTATCAAAAGTTATTGAAGAAAATAACAATATACAACAGTGGCAGCTCTTTTTACCTTGTTCCGGGCCGGAATGCTGCTTCTTCCTGGTAAACTAGTGTTAAAGGACGAATCACTGACATCAGAAGCAACACTGGTGTTATCGGACAGAAGGTCTTCAGAAGAACCAGCTCTCCTTGTGTTTCTACTGCTGGGACTGCGCTTTAGCCCAAAATTACCCTGAAAAACATTGATACATTCAAAGTAAATCTTAATGTTAAACACTAACAATCTATAAATAAATAGAGGGAAGTGCTCATACTTTGCTGAGAGGAGGAGGAAGCCTAGTTTTAGTAGCCGGTGGCAGTTTGGTGCTGGAGGAAAGTCGCGAGTTCCCTTGTGCTGTGGGTTTCCTGGGTAACACCCCACTACTAGCCACAAGGGCTTTGTCTCTAGTAGCCATCTTAGGCTGTGTCACAGCGGGCCTGACTGGACTCGATGTACTGAGACGTGGCTTACCAAACCCGGCCGTCCCGTTAGCCTTCAGCATACGCTTCTGAATGGCAGGTGGAAGCTGCTTCATCGGGCTGTCCTGCACAAGAAAGGTCTCTCTTTTGATGGGACTCAGAACATCAGCTGGCTTGCTAAACATGTTCAGTTTGACTGTGTTGTCCAGCTCAAACGTCTCCATCTCCTTGGCTTGGCTCGAGGAAACGATGCTGCTCTCGGCTACAGAATCTGTGACGGTTTGCTCGAGATGTCTGGCGAGTAGCTGAGCTTCTTTGCAGATTTCATCAAACTTCTCTCCTGTAAGCGGACTCCAGCTGGGCTCTTCACCCAGAGACGGGCCGCTGCTTATACGGTCCGTCACATGAATCTCCACTCCATGAGAAATGCGTTTATCTTTATTACTGACCGGACCCATGAAAACCTCATCCTCAACATCGTAATCTCCTTTAGAACTATGAAAGAACATTTCCACATGATGTATATCATCATAAAAAATATATATTAAAAAAAACATTATAATTCTTATTGTATAGCACACATTAAAGGAATAATCAGCCAAAATTAAAATTCTTTCATTATGTACTCATTCTCATGTCATTCCAAACCAAACCATTTAACCAAATTAAATCTGTTCATATCAAGGTCAAGTCATTTTTATTAGTGGTATTTTTGTTCTATTCAGCTTGATTTTAATTTTAATTTTAGTAATTGTAAGACTCATTGTCATTTCAGTTTTTTTGTTTTATTTTTGTGTTTCAAGTTTAGTTTTGCAACAAAAACGATTTTTAATTGTTTTAATTTAGTATGTTCACTGCCTTGAACATAGAAAACAAACCTTGCAGGTGACAATGAAACGTCAAAGTCAAATTTCTCTTCAGCCAGTGAAACAAAATCTAGAAGAAAAAAACACTAATTAACACAAAGAAATATATAATTATATTTTAAAGTATGTTTACATATGCCAAATCAGTGTTTATTTTCTGTGGCTTGTTACAGTACACTTACAAAAAAAAATTAAATACTGTTGTTGGTCTTCACTAACATGAACCATGTTAGTGTTTTTACCATGGTTAACCACTGCATTACCATCTGCTAGTATCACTGTACCATTGTACCACTCAAGTACTTTTTGTAAGGGTAGTTTAGAGATACTGTAATTAAATAAAAAGATGATTACCACGGTGAGTGAGAGATGCCATCTTCAGCCAGGAAAACAAACGGAGGCCAAAGTCCTGCTAACATTAGTTTACAGTTAATGTGGTTCCGTTTTTTTTCCATTGCACGTTTGAGACATCAGCAAGTACTTTTAACCCAACTTAAAATACTCGAAATAAACCTAACGATACTCAATAAAAATAGCATTTTAGTCTAATAACCAACACATAAACATAATGCAAGTCATGGAGCTCATGTATTCATACGGTTTACTCAACGATCATATTCTAATTTGATCTTAAAACAGATTATAAACATTTAATATGACCAAAAACACTTACTGTTTGTTGGATAGAGCTCTCGGGTTATATTTATTAATTGTAGTGTTGACTGTTCACATTAAATAACCGGCACTAGCGATCGGTCTCCACATTTCAAATTTCGTGGCCACTGGCCAGCCTGATTTCGAAGATCACGTGACATGAATGCTGCGACGGGATTGGTGGAGCAAGTTTCCGGAACGCAGCAGTCGTCGTGTTGAGTGACGTTACGCCAGTAGCCCCTCACTGCACAAGATCCAGGGGGCGTGGTTGCTCCGTTGCGCAGGAAAATAAAAAAGAGCATTTCTGATTATTTTAATGCACATGAATGGTTAAGTACGCTATTTTATAATCTAATAATATTGTAAAATATATACTCGATAAGATTCAAATTAAAACCAATGATTAGGTTAAGCTAAATATGAATATTTTATTGTCAAAAACCATACACATAACTCAAAGACTTCCAAATGTAAATTAAACCACAATAACCATTTATATTTACAAAATTATTTTCCATAAACATCTATCCCGTCCCCCTCTCTCTACCACTTTGCTTCCTGTCTACTCACTGTCCTATCATAATAAAGGCAAAAACAATGAAATAATGAAATGAAATATTCATTCCCAAAATGGGAATGAAACTACAGTGAAATAAAATTTACCCACAAATTCTCTCTGTTGCTTTCCTACTTGCTTTTTCTAATCTTGTATTGTTTACTGTGTACATTTCTGTAACAAATCTTATAACATTTTGTTAAAACCAATAATAACATGTCCCCACAATGAATAATATTTGCAGTAAATAATAAAAATACTTCATATTACCATCACAATAATTCATAAAACAGCATCTTGACAAACTCAGGGGACCTGCGTGGTGTTTTTGAGTCCTTGTCTGTGGTTTAAGGAGGTGGGGTGGATCAAAATTGATAAAACACTCTAAACAGAAAATACACTGTTACATTTTAGCATAGCCTTCATCACTGGTTGATTTAAAAAGAAAGAAAATCAAGACAAAAATGAGCACAATGTACCACTGTAAACCTGTTAATATTTCATTCCCTTAATACACCTTGAATGCGTCATTTTTGCGAGTGCAGTTAAGCTACGTTTCATGAAATAATAAGCCTGTAATCAATGACTTTTACCGTCCAGCCATACCCCTTTAAAAATCTTGATGCATTATATCTTTTCCCATTTAATTTACATAATCTAAGGATTCCTAGTTTTCTAAAAAATCTAAATCAAAACTGATTTAGAGGCAAATAGTGGACCTTCATAAAGTGTTTGCTCACAATTAAACAGAGCAGCAACTACATGTGAACCTTTTTCATCCAAAATAATAATTTGTCCAAAAACTCCCCAATATTTTTATCTATATGAACAGCCAAAACACCTTATATCAAAATATTTGAATGAACAAAATATAATAGGAAAGAATTTGAACATTTGAGCAACATCATTCCCAAACCATACACTTTCAGGGTGTGCAGGCCAAATGTGAAAAGAATGAAACAAACCTCCATGAAATTAAAAAACAAAACAAAACAAGTAAAATAAGTTTTGCTCCTTTTCCAGTTCACTATCAGAGGCCCAGAAGCCCTGATTTTGTACTTAACGTGTCCTCGGTTGTTGACGTGATCTGACGTAGGGTGGTAGCGGATTATAGAGAGGTTTCCAGACTGTGCAGTGGGCTTCCAGGAGTCGGAGAAAGGATCGTTTTGGCTATATTTTTGTGCTGATGGAAGCCCTTGCTGTCAGATGCATTGTTGTTCTGATTAGGGGATAAAACTGGAGGCAGTGGGGAAGGAGTCTTGTTTCGTTTAGTAGGTGCGTCCTCCTCAGGGTCTGTGTCATCGATGAGAGGGATGGCTGGTTCTGAATCCTCAATACGGAACTCTGGGTGGCTCATGAAATTGTGAATGGAGTTGCGAGACTCTGGCGTCTCCAGGCCTTCGTAAGGAGACATGGAATCCCGGAAAGCATTAACCACACGGATCTGAATAAAAAGCACCAAAATCAGTCAGTAGCATTCTACCATTTAGAATTTTTGTTGAAATTATAGTTTAACATGCACTCATTCATATTTTTATAATGGATTTTATATTTTAAGATTGACAAACTGGGTCTGGGACAAAATCTATACATTTAAAACATTTAAAACATAGCAAAAGGTAAGACAAAAAGACACCGTAATAAAAAATGTAATCAAACTTAGGATTTAAAGGGTTAGTTCACCCAAAAATGAAAATTCTGTCATTAATTACTCCCCCTCATGTCGTTCCAAACCCGTAAGACCTTCGTTCATCTTCAGAACACAAATTAAGATATTTTTTATGGAATCTGAGGGATCGCTGACCCTCCATAGACAGCAAGGATATTACCACGATCAACGCACAGAAACGTATCAAGGTCTTCGGTAAAATAATCCATGTGACATCAGGGGTTCAACCGTAATTTTTTACGAAGCTACGAGAATGCTTTTTGTGCGCAAAAAAACAATAATAACATAATTTATTCAGCAATTCTTCTCCCCGAGTTACCATCTTCCGCCATTTTGGAGAGTACCCCAGAACATAGTCAACGTAATGGACGTTGTTTACGTTCAGTAGACAGTGCGTGCATGCTGAACGTAAACAACGCTCATTACGTTGATTACGTTCTGGAAGATGAACGAAGACGAACTTACGGGTTTGGAACGACATGAGGGTGAGTAATTAATAACATAATTTTCATTTTTGGGTGAACTAACCCTTTAAGGCATGAAATGAAAGAAACCTCATTTAGTACCTGTGTCTGAATTCTGTTGAGACCCCTGCACCACAGAACCTGCCCCCTTCTTAGCTCCATTTCAGCGTGGTCGATTTCATCCAGGTCTTCCATCTCCTCCAGCTCATCTTCAGGGATCTCCTCCTTCTGAGTGCCATGACCTGCTGTCATCAGGAACTTCAGACGACTTGTGGGAACGGTGGAAATCAACTGTGGGTCGGAGGTGAGGAAAACAATACATCACCCAGTGCATAATTTCAAAAGTCATCAGCAGTTAAAATGCTTTTCAAGGCCTACCTGCCCCCAGAGAAGAGAGCCAAAGCCAAGGAAGACACACCACAGCCACTGCTCAACAGAGAGACTTACACAGCTAAAAGGCTTCCCTCCAAACTGCACGATTAGAATCTAAAAAACCAAACCATGTTGGGATTCAGAATTGTTAATAGTTGACACAGGTTTATAGAGATTACAATGTGACGTACCTGGATTACAAAGGTCCCGAATACGATGGAGCAGAAGATCATGTTATTGAAGATGCCATCAAAAACATTTCTCTCACCGTGGATCTTTCGAGCGTTAATTTCGTTAAAGAGCTGCATCATCACAAATGTGTTAAAGACGATGGTGTAGTGCTCTGAAGGAGGGGCGTGAAGAGGAGTGTTCCTGCCACTGTCAATGTCAAAGATCTGTTCACCTGTGAAAAAAAAAGAATAATATCCGGCATACTCTGACTGGATGCTCTAAATCCGGGTTACACAACAAGTTACAATACTAATATTTCTATATCAAATTCTTCACTTTCAAACATTCAAAACTAAATAGTTTGAGTTTTTATTTTGGCAGAATACTGCTAAAACCTCTGCCCACAAAAATGTTGGAAATTAGGCGAATGTGTAAATAAAGTGAACCTAGCGCACGTTGCGTTTATCAACTTGCAATTCCCTCACAAACCCCCAGGGGTTCGTAAACCACCATTTGGTAAACCCAGCTCTAGATATTTTGGGTGGTACTTACCGGCAAACAGCAGTGTGAAGATGATGGTTAGCTGATATACAGCATGTCCGAGGATGTTCTTCATCATGGTGCGGGAAATGAGAGGCTTGTTACGGCCATATGGTTTGCGCAACAGTAAAGCCTCAGTGGGAGGCTCCGTTGCCAGTGCTAGTGATGCAAATGTGTCCATAATTAAATTCACCCACAGCATCTGTACAGCTTTGAGAGGGGAGTCCTGTGTGGAGAGTTGGACAAAGCAAAAAGTTTAATAGAAAGAACGAGGTGGCGACGAGGACAGGAGAAAGTGGAAGCAGAAGTCTAACCTGTGTGATACAGGCTCCAGTAAATGCCACAATGACAGCCACCACATTGACTGTCAGCTGAAACTGGAGGAACTTTGAGATACTGTCATAGACATTCCTCCCCCACATCACTGCCTTCACAATGCTGCTGAAGTTATCGTCTGTCAAGATAATGTCTGATGCCTCTTTGGCCACATCTGTACCAGCAATGCCCTAAAAAGACAGGTCAAGACATGTCACTGTCAAATTTCATTAACTTTCATTTTCCAAGCTTGTTCATGCTTATTTTGGAATACTACAGGATAGATGCCATATAATTGAATTTTATGCGATTAAAAACAAGGCATTAAGACATTATGCAAGTACTAGACTGTAAATTTCAAAACTCACAACTTTTAAAACGGTTTTATTCTAGTGAAAGTTTCTTCTTAAAGACGATATGTAATCAGTATGTTGTTAAAGGGTTAGTTAATCCAAAAATTAAAATTCTGTCACTAATTACTCACCCTCATGTCATTCCAAACCAGTAAGACCTTCATTCATCTTTGGGACTCAAATTAAGATATTTTTGATGACATCCAAGAGCTTTCTGACCGTGCATAGACAGCAATGCAACAGACACATTCAAGGCCCAGAAAGGTAGTAAGGACATTTTTAAAATAGTCCATGTGACATCAGTGGTTTAATCATAATTCTGTCAGGACCACTATCGTCAAAATAACTGACACTTAGAATACAGTTTGGTTTGGCGGTATGGTTCTGTTCTGGGTAAAAACTCCCTGCTCATTCATGGCTGCATGAATAATAATAATAATAAGCAGCAATAATAACCCCCAAGGGTAAACAGAACAAAGCAGATATCATTAATGTACTTAATGATATTTAAGTGTAACACATTGCTCAAGATAAAAGGAGTCTGATTCAACAAGGAATATCAGAAAGCAGAGTCCTGACTGTGGCAAAAGGAGGAGTTGGGGATGGAGGAGGGTAATTTGCTCCTGAGCAAGCAAAAAAGCAGCTGAATAATACTGAATAGAGCTTACATAGGAATGCCGTGATAGGTGATAGGTGATATGCCGTGATAGGTGAT